GCCTGCTTCTCCCTCTGACCCTCCCCCCTCTCATGTGCTCTCTGTCTCTCTCATTCTCTCTGTCTCAGATAAATAAATAAAATCCAAAAAAAAAAGAAAGGGGGAAATGGATAAATTATAGAACGGAAAAAATCAGAAAAACAACTTTATAAACAACTTTAAAAAAAAGCAATTTTAGCTTTTTCTCACAGGTAAGAACAAAAAAATTTCAACTTTTAATTTTCTAATTAGAAAAGGGGATAAGAAATGAAGACTGCTCTTTCACAGGAACCAACACAAGTGAAGTGATTCAGTTTCTGATCCTGTAACTCAAAGGAAGAACTCATTTACACCGAAGTTCAAGAACCTACTAAGTACAAAGCTACAGTAATCAAGACATTGGGGATGGCATGAGAGACAAACAGATTGAACAAATAGAGTACAGATACAGATCTACACTTAAAATTCAACAAATTTTTGACAAAGGTGTCAAAGCAATCCAATGGGGAATGGAAAATCTTTTCAATAAATGACACTAGAAAAAATGGTTATCTTTATGAAAAACAAACAATTCAATTTGTACTTCACACTATAAACATTAATTCAATATGGATGACAAATCTAAACATAAAAGCTAGAACTGCAAAGTTTAGGAGAAAAATGTAAGTGAATACCTTCACAACTTGGAGATAAGAAAAGGTACTTTAGGTCAAAGAAAACAATAACCATAAAAAAAATAAGTGATAAATTAAATTTCATCAAAATTAAAAATATCTGCTCATCTAAATAAAGACACTTAAGAAAATGAAAAGGAAAGCCACACACTGGGAGAAAGTATTCAGAAAGCATCTATCTTACAAAGGATTGGTATTCCAGGATACATTTAAAAAAAAAAAAATGGGTGAGCCTGGATGGCTCAGTTGGTTAAGTGTCCAACTCGTAGTTTCAGCTCAGGTTGTCATCTCAGGGTTGTGAGATCAAGCCCAGTATCGGGCTCCGTGCTCAGCATGGAGTCTGCTTAAGATTCTCTCTCCCTCTCCTTTTACCCTTCCTGGCTCGCGTTCTCGCTCTCTCTCTCAAATAAATAAATTAAAAAAAAAAATTCCTACTACTCAATAATGAAAAGACAACCTAATCAAAAATAAACAAAAAATCTGAACAGACATTTCAGAAAGGAAGATCTACAAATGGCCAGTAAGACAAAAAAAAGTGTCAAACATATTAGTCATCAAGGAAACACAAAGTAAAACCACACCAAATGTTGGTGATGATGCGGAACAACCAGAACTCACACATATTGTTGGTTAGAAGGTAAAATGATATAGCCACTTTGGGAAAAGGTCTGCAATTTTTTATAAAACTAAATAAACATCTACCCTATGATCCAGCAATTCTACTCATACATACTTATCCAAGAGAAATGAAAATATAGGTCTACAAAAAGAGTTGTATAACAATGTTTATAGCAGCTCTGTTCATAATAGCCAAACACCTGGAACAGCCCAAGTGTTCATCAAAAGAGCTTAACTGTGGTGTATACAATGGAATAAAACTAATCAATAAAAACAGTGAATCACTGATAACATGGATAAATTTTAAAAACATCATGCTGAAAAAAAAAATCTTATACCAAACAGCACAGTGTATGATTCCAATTATATGAAATTCTAGAATCAGCAAAAGTAATCTATGGTGGAGGAAAAATCAGAACAATGGTTACTTGAGGGCAGGGATAGGCAGGGATTGATTGTGAAGTGGTGATGGTATATCTGCAACCTGATACGGGTTTGGGTTTCATAGGTATATCCATCTGTTAAAATTCATCAAATAGTTTAAATTTGTGTACTTCATACATAGTAAATAAATTTAACCTCACAATAGAGCAAAAAACAAATACTGAATTTTAGTTAGTGATATATATACATGCTGAAGTGTACTGATTTCTGCAACTTACTTAGAAATGCATCAAAAAAATAAGATGAACTGGTGGCTGGATAAGTAGATAGCTGCATATACATGTGATAAAGCAAATTTAGTAAAATGTTAACTATGCAATCTAGTTGGCGAGTATATGAATGTTCACTGTGTAATTCTCTTCTTACCTTTTCTTTATGTTTGAATATTTTCATTGTAAGTTGAGAGAGGGGATGAGAAATACTCAGCAACTTATATAGAAGCAGTTTTTTCTACACTCTGACAGTTTTCGTGTTTTTGTTTTGTTTTGTTTTTATTTGAGAGAGAGAGCCCATGTAAAAGCAGAGGGTGGACAGACAAGGAGGGAGAGGGAAAGAATCTCAAGCAGACTACATGCTGAGTGCAGAGCCTGATGCAGGGCTGATCTCAGGACCCTGAGATCATGACCTGAGCCGAAACCAAGAGTCGGACCCTTAAGTGACTGAGCCACTTAGGTGCCCCTCTACTCCGCCAGTTTTAAGCAAAACTGAGAAATGACCAAAAAATGGAACAGCTTTCTCTGATAAAGGTATACTGGTTTGTTAGAATCTGAGATTTAAAGAAAATTCCTTCCCCTCCTCTAAGTTCAAAAAAAGTCAATAGAATGAAGTAACTTCTATAGGGTATGGGTGGCAGGCTATCAGGCCATGGACAGATTCAACAAATTAGTGTTTTTGTGGTAAACATCACATGACAAATTTCTAAACTTTATTTCATGCTCAATCTAAAATTAAGAAAGTCACTTCTTTACTCACCAGGTCATTAGCTTGATCTATTGTAAAAACACTGTTGTTTACTCTATTACCAACTTCAATATGTGCATCAGCTAATGATGAAATAAGCTGTTTACACTCATTCTGCATTCGCGTGAATGGAACGGCAATTTCATCATAATACAAATGTTCTGAAAGGATATCAAGTAAACGTGGCTGCACAGCTAGGGTAACAGCTTTACACTCCTAAAATATAACAGACAAAAAATATTCAGGGCAAATATATAAACATAATTCTAGAGATATATACATCTTCACTTGCAAACTACAAAGTTCTAAATTCCTATTCATTTTGAATCTATGTTCTGTTACCTCCCAGAACAATATCGTTAGTTGCACAGAGAAAAGGTATCACACAAACTACTCTAAAATTTTAATATGAATGACTTCAGAACATGCACATGGAACTACAATTCCATTAAATTCTGCAACTAATTACTCTTACTTTACTCTGAATTTATACAAAGTTTACATACATATAGCACAGATTTAAAAATATATAACTGTAAAAAGAAATCAGTCAGAAAAGAACACTTAGCATGCACTAAAAATGTTATTTGAAAACTCATTATTAGATTTCTTAACAGTTGAACCCATAGCTTCACATGCCATACTGTAGAAATGGATATATAATTTAAAAGCTACTTACCTGCCCCCAAATTTAACTAACCCTTCCCACTCTCTCTGGTTGTTGCCTGCCCCAACCAGAGGGGGAATGGCCTCAGTGGTGAGCCATGAGGGGATCTGGGTGATCAGCCTGGGCTTCACAGAGTAAGTCCAGAGAAGCTCTGTGAGGGTCCAGAAACCGAACTGTCAACACTTGCTGCTGAGTCTGAGAGGCACAAAAACACAGCATCACTGCCTCTCCAGCACACCGAGTCCTGCCTAAAAACAGATGAGCCTTGCTTCTTTCCAGAGGCAAAGCTGGGGTCTCAGTTGCAACAGAGCATGGCTCAGTTACTTTTAGACATAGCTTATAGCTTTGACAAACTGCTAAGAGGCAGTAACAAGAAACTCTCACAGCAAGTGCAGACAGTTAAATTTCTAGAATTCCAGTTAACGGAATAAACAAAGCCAGCAGGAAGTTTCTTTGATTTACAGAAGTCAGTCTTACACAAAATCACACATTTTATTAGAAGTTAAAGGTTAAAGGGGCTGCAGGGAATGGTTTATTTGAAAACATGAAGATCTTCATTTAAATGTGGAGGTTTTATTCTTCCTGTGACCCAAAATTCTGCCCTTGCTACTACTCATACAAATGGATCTCTATTACTCAAAGCCTCTCATCTTTTATAGTTTTCAGGAACATCTGAGATATAAAGGAATGAATGACCAACAGTTTCTGGATGGCTTCCACATATAGGAGGGACATTTCTTAACAGATTGTAGTATCAAGAGCAAACATTAAATATGGTCATAGCTAGTAGTCTCAGGTACCAGACTAGGGGTCCTAAGAAAAAATTCTAAGGTTAAAAGCAAATGGAAGAGAAACAATGTTTCACATTATATAATTTAGAATACTTTTCTAGAACTGTTGAGTTTTTATATAGAGAAAATTTTTTTTTTTGTAAAATATAATGAAAATAATCCTAACAGCTAATGGAAATTGGTTTACTTAATTTGTCTTCATTACTTTTTGGGCAAAATCTTACCTTTTGTAAAGCAGCCCATTCACAGATTACCAAAGCAACGCTAATTCTCTGTAAGGCAGATTTGGAGTTCAAATGGAAGAGTAGTAACTGGCCAAGGGATTCAGCTGGCTTAATTTCTTGGGTTACCACATTTACACCTGGATCACAAATACAGCAACAAAGCGCTCCTAACAATCTATGAGGGAGAAAAAAGAAGTTCCCCTTATTGAAGCTATAACTTTTCCCAACAAAGACATAACTCCTATTTTATCTTTATAGAAAGATATAAATCTTATTGACAACTTCAAGAAAATGAAAAACACTTTCTTACACTTTTTCTTACTCTGTAACTAGTGTGCTGGAGGAAGTACTGACAAACACATTAGAATATTCTGGTTAAAAGGCTTCTGAATTTTTGTATACTCACTTGGCTGCCATCATTCTGGCCCTCATAACCACAAAATCCCTAGTGGAGGGGTCTTCCATGATGGTGTCTGCTCCTGCAATGTATTCCTGAAGGACTTCTTTTGTTTGGCTTTGGCCTTGGCGTATCTTACCACCTGTTTTTTCCTAGAGGGAAAGAGGGGAAAAAATAATATTAAATAAAAATCAATCATTAAAATTTAATAGGGAATTCTCCTCTGTACACAAAAATACTTTCATTTGTTCTCCCAATAAAAAAGTTTTCACAAAATTTTAATGGATAAAAATTATTATGCATTTGCAAAGTTCCTCATAAAATAATTTCTCCATACATTAAATTAATTAAATCACACTTAATTAAAAAAAAACAATACAAATTTTTACATGGTTACTGTATTAATAGAGCTGAACATACAAATACATTATGTCCCTCTGCACTTACCTTGGCTCTAGCTTTTACTTCTAGCAACATATTTAAATCAATAGGTAAATGAGAAGGCTGCATCATTAAGCAAAGCCAAGCACCCATCCATGGACAAGCAGCTGCTACCACATACTGAACTGAAGCTTTGCACAACAGTTCCATCCAAACCTACAGAGTAAAAGAGAAACATGAAAAGTGAAATTTTCCTAGTGAGGGCTAATAAAACCTAATACTTATTTTTAGGGATACTGAATTTAAAAAAAAAAAAAGTAGGAAATAGCAAGCACAGATGAATTTTATTTTTTTTTATTTTTTTATTTTAAAGATTTTATTTATTTATTTAATTGACAG